ATATCCTCATCGTACTGCCCTCGATGCAGGTTACCTCCTCAATATCAGGATCGGCAATTCCCCCGCCACTTTCCGGGGAATAGTCTTCAAGCCGGGCCACTACGTGCCCGTCACCAAAGAAAATGACGTGGCGCCACATCTCCAGATGATCAGAAGAAATGACGTCCGTGTCCCTGCCGGGCCCGATGGGCCTGCGCCCCTCCAGAAGCGGAAGTATACGTCTCGCCGGGCCACGGGCCCACCACCTCCTTTACCCACCGTCCACCCTGTTGGGGAGAGGGGCCACGTGGTGCCTGTTGTGCTCCAGCAGCCCATGGACCACAACTATCCTAATGGGCTTCAGGCCCAAGCCCAATCCCAGGCCCAGATGCTGGACTTTGGGAACAAGGATGTGCACATGGTGGAGCCGCTGTCGATGCTGCCTCCTGACCGGAGGCAGATATTCCCTGGCGGGCAGCCACACGGTAGCCATCCTGTTCCTCCTGTGCAAGTTGGTGGCAAGGAGGATGATAAGGGACTGTTTGGCGAGGGGGAAAATGCTGCGAGGTCTGAGGGGATGGAGTCTAGCGATGCGGAAATTGGGGTATCCTCGGATAGCTCGGATTCGGAGTACGAGAACGGGAAGGAGTTTGTGAAGTTTCCTTTGGAAGAAGGTGATTCGGGTGCTGTGACAGCTCATGAAACTGGGAATTGCGATGAGCGATTTCCGAACGAGACCTTGCAGAATGTGTCTGCCTTCAGTTATGCACCTGGGAGGATGACCGAGCTTTTGCAGGTAGATAAACGTCTATGTTGATAGTGTTTTGAAAATTTCGAAAATGACTCCGGATTGTGTTTGTTTTGTTAAATTAATTACCTGTTTTTTTCATTGATGCCTTTTCTTAAGGGTTAGATGTATGTTTTTGTAGGCTGTGCACATGAAAGAGAACCAGGTGCAATTTGCTGAGCAGCCAATTCCTGGTGGGAAAATCGAGCTTCGTGAGACGATGAACTCAGAAGTTGACCCCAAAAGTGGATCAAGTGGTCCTTGATCTGATTGAGCCTCAAAAACTTGTGTTCTTGATGATGCCTGTGATCTTTTTCACTATGTAGGGATAGTTTGTAATATTTTTAATTGTTAGTTGCAGTTGAAGACTTTGGTGGGGATTTTATGTTTGTCTGCGAGAGAGGTTTAGATAATTTTAAAAGAGCAGCGGGTTTATGCTGTTAGGTGAATTGTTTCTTTTCAAAGTACGTTATAAATGCAAATCGTGTTGGACCTCTTTTACCACCATTTTGTAGTGGTTAACCCTGCTTTACGGATGGACGCATTTTGGCCTTGTCGTGGCAAACTTTGTACACCCGTTCGGAACTGTCGGTTTAGGTTTGCATTTTATGTGAACGGTGAACCGGAATCGGCCTTGGTATATATACGGGTGTGGGCTGATTCTAAAGTGGCAAATAAATAAGAATAATAAAAAAATATTAAAAAAAATTAAATAATAAAAGAAAATAAAAATTCAATTTTTAAATTCGCGGAACTGCCAATTTCGGTTCAAAACCAACTGTCGGTTCAATTTGTGAAAAAACATGAACTTGATTCGGCTTGGATAAATCCACGAGTCGATTCAAGGACCGCGGTTAACTATTTTGACCGGGTCGGTTCGAATCGGGGCCATGTCTAGACAAATTGTCATTTCATCAGAATGAAATCCGACTTTAGATTATGATTTAGCACCCAGAATAGCTCGAAGAATCGGCCTGAGTGTTAGCTCGGAATAGGCCGGTTCAGACAAGCTTCATCTCGCTAAGAAGAAGTTAACCCAGTCAAGGAGCTCGCAGATCTAGCTCAAGGTACTGGTCGACTTGATAAGATTACCTGGAGATGCAATCTCTAGGAGCTCGAGTAGGAAGAATGACCTCAAGGTGTTGAGGTTTTAGGTTAGGAGGTCGGGAGTCGACCTCAGCCAGGTTACAACAAGAAGGTCAGGAGGTCGTGGTTACGACCTAGGGACTTAAGGGTTAAGTGGCAAAGGGAGAAAGAATCCTAGTAGGGTGGAAAATATAACTTGCTAAGAAGGACACTCTTGGGCATCAAGACACTTACCCTATATAAGGGTAACCAGGTTCTATGATAACATCCATCACACCTTACATATCACACATATACTTTTCACCTTATTCTCTTGAACAAGTTTTGACGTGAACGTCGGAACCCCCTCCCGACAAATTGCAGGTCACCAGAGCTCGAGGTAGGAGTGCGTTCGAGGATCCATCGGTTAAACCCGGTACGTGGTAAATTGGCAAATCAAATTGGTGTTGTGTAAGGGACGGATTTAGTCTTTTACCGGCTATAAGAGGCTTATCGGATTCTCACAAACAGCCTTTCTTTAAAAAAATCAGAAGACCAGAAGATCATGGGCAGCGGATAACTCTAAAAAGAAATTGCTGAAGGACTTGGATGAGGCTTGGACGTCTCGGGCTTTTGGGTTAGGACCTCCACCGGGGTGGTTGAAGTCCGGGGTATGCTTATTACGCCTCAGGAAACATTGTTAGCACCGCTTATGACGTTGACTCCGGTAGAAAACACATTGGAGGAACCTTAGTGGACAAAGAGCCGACAATTGTTCAATAGAGTACAGAAACCCCAGAAGGACAAGACAAGGACCGTTACAGAAAAAACAAAGCCGACAGTCGTTCAAACAGGTCGAACAATATAAAAAATATTATTACTATTGTTTTAAATTTTTATGTAAAATTATTATTTGTTTTTAGCCAAAAGTATTAAAACATAAAAAAATAGTAAATAATAAATAAAATATTAAAACATCAATTTTGTTTCATATGATTACAGATTTGACCCTTGGGTAAAATTGTAATATATTAAAATTTATAAAATTATAATTAAGTCCTTGTGTCTTGTCAATTTTTTTTTTAAAAAAAACCCTCCGTATTTCTCCTCCTTCGACTCCCCCCGCGCGCGCGCGCACACACACACACACACACACACACACACACACACACATGTTTTCAGCCCCCGGTGGCGCCGACTTGGGGTAGGGCGACCTAGACTCGTCGCAGAGCGTCATGTTCGGGTTGGGCAGGAGCCACGAGGCTGCCTCGGCCTCCACCTCAGAGGCCTCTTCGTCGGCACCGCCTGCGGATGAGGATGTGGGGGCGGCAATGCCACAAGTGATCTTAACGGGGACTCGCTCGTAGTGGCGGGCGCGAGGATGGCTGCGTGGACGCCGGCGTCTCAAGCACAACATATCGCGACCAACCTTGGCGGGCGGCGGGGATGGTCTTGGCAGCCGAAGGGGATGGTCTCGGCAGCGTGATCGATGATGCTTGTGGCGGTCAGCGACGACGTTCAGCTTGTGTGTGTGTGTGTTTGTTTGTTATAGGTGTGTAGGCGTAAGGGGGGTGTGTGTGTGTTTGTTATGTGTTTGTGCGTAAGGTGCATGTGTGTGTGCAGGTGTGCGTGTACGTGTGTGTTTGTGTGTGAAAGTGAGAGGGTAGGTTAATGGTGGGGTCTATTGGTAGCGTATATGTCTGATTACCCCTAACTAGTGGTCAAATGTTTATACTTGACCATGCTATGTGCAATTATTTACGAGAATGTCACCCATGTTTGATTCACACTTATTAAATTATGACTTGATTATGACCGTTAGTTTGATGGATCTAATTGTCCAGAATAATTCATTATTTCTTTCACTATCCCTCTCTCTCGTATGATCCTACCTATATATATATATATAAGGGTATTTAATATATAGTCTAAATATGAGTTCCAAATTTAAAAGTCAAATAAATAATTATTCATAACATAAGGTCAATATCTATATATATATAATAAGAATTAACATTTACCAAAAATAGTAGCAAAAAAATAGTCAGAATTTAATGCAGCCTATAAATAGTAAGTTTTATTATTTTTTTTATTTTTTCTTTAAAAATCATACAACATTAAATGTTACCTTAAATTTCGAGCTTTAATTCATTTTATTATTTAAAAAATCCGGCTAATATTTATTAAGTGTGTATGTTTTTATATTTATTTTTTCATAGAAACAACCAACAATATTAAAATCTCGGTCTCTATATTTATAAAATCTTAATTCAAAATATAACAAAAGTTTTAGAATCTCGGTCTTTATATTTGTGCTTTTTTAAAAAAAAAAATGAACGCTAAAAATATTCTTTAAATTGCATAATCAATCAATTAATCTTAATTTTTAAAAATTTACTATGCTTATTTTTTATAATATGCATAAAGTAAAAATAATTAATTCATCTTTAGATATATAATTTATAATCTTAATATACTATCATTTGGTGTAGACATTTATTATATGAATCATAATATATTTTTATTTCATAAAATTAAATATATTTAAAGAAAATAAGAAAATTTCTTCGGATCAATTGGATGATTGAATTAGGGTACTGCCCAGGTTGATTGAATTGCTTTTATGTGATATTTAAAATAGTCAAAAAACTTGACACAACATGGTTGGTCCCAAGTGATTAAGTTATGTATCAGTTCGACCACACCAAATCGATTATTGAACCTAAATATAAATTTTATATTGAAAATATTTTATTACGTGAATGTGATGTAGTCGACACTTCAAATAATCGTATTAACAATACTTTCATGACAACATGTTTAATGATTTATGAATATTTATATATCATTTTATTAATATTTATGTGAATTAAATAATATTTTATTATAATATTTATTAATGTATAGTAAATATAAGGTTTTCAAACTATCAAGCTATATATAGTATCTTTTGTAATAAATTTAAATAAAATGTGTTACTTAGATATCTAAACAATTTATAAATTCAAGTGTTTAAACAAATTGATAAATAATTTATAAATCTCTATTTTATTTAAATATGTAGTTTTATTTAAAATAATTTTAAATATAACAAAATTTATTTAGAAAATCGTATCGATCCTACCAGTCCAACCGACTGGTGTTGACGGATTTGAGAGCAAATATTTTATTCAAGCAAATTAGACTGGTTATAAACTGGTTCTCAGTCCATCCGGTCAGACTGTGTCCAACACGATTTAATTTAAAAACAATAGATAAATCATGATTAATATTATTTTATATTTAATTTATTACAATCTTAATATTGTTTTTTTCGTGCATCGCACGGGCCACGCACTAGTTAACTTGGACTTACATGGAATAGTCAATTATTTATAGTTTAATAAATTAGTCAACTACTTAAATTTTTTCATTTAGATAGTTTATACAAAAATAAATTTATTTTAATTAATGAAACAATGTAAGTTTTTTAATAATTTATTTTGTAATAATTTATTTTACTTAATGAAACAATATAAGTTTTATAATTATCTTTATTATTCACATAGATTTTTATATATGATAAAAATTTACTAAAAGATTTATTTTATGGAATCGCGTCATAGTCAAATCGAATTTCTGAATAAAATTTTTTAACATGATACTTACTTTGAAATGAATATAATGCAATTTTTTATCACTTACGTGCATCGTAAAGGTCGTATACTAATTTTAAATATACTTGTTTTATGTAAATTTTTACAATTTACATTTCGTATACTATTTTCAAAAAATAAATTTAGGTATATTACATTTTGTTTTATATTTTTAATTTATAAATATTATTTAAAGAATATTTTGAATTTATAAATATTAATGAATATTTTTTTATTAGTGCATCTTGATTAGTACACTCTATATATATATATATTTAATAAGATTAACATATTTTATAGAAGTAAGATAGGGTTAATAAAAAAAAATGATGTATAGCTGTAAGTTCGGGAAGAACTACTTTTTAAATGATGTATGATAAAATTGCAATAAAAAATTATTGAGTTGGTATTATTAAAAAAAAATACTACAAATACATAATATGCATATTAGAGATACATAACTCGCTGGGGTTCACTTAATTTTTCAATTTTTGGTGGCTCCTATTTAATGGAGTGTTATGTATAACATTTCTCTTGTTCAAATCCCTTAACACGAAGGAACACGAAGCAAAATTAAGTAATAAACCTCTCTCCCTCCAAAACCCTAAACCCAAGCTTCCCAAATCGCCGATTAATCAGAGGCAAATGAGAGGACCTAAATCGAGGAAATTCAAGCTACAGAATCGGCTTTCTGAGGTCAATGAAATCGAGATTCTCGAATCATGGATACATTCGGGCAAACCCGATTCCGGCTCCAACCCGATGTCATTTGCTCCGCCACCGCCAAAGTCTCCAATCGGCAAGCTACCGGATGGCACTTTCTCCCCGTACGCAGGTTCCGAGAAGTTCGCCCAGTTACCTCTGTCCAAAAAGACCAAGGATGGGTTATCGGAGGCAAATTATTCGAAGATGACCGACATTCAGAGAGCGTCT